AAATTGTAATTCATCGAGTGTTCATTTATGAGAGCGAGAAAGAGAGAGGCTGTGTATGTATGTATGAACTACCACCGTTTTGCCGCGTTTCTCTATTAACAGTAAAGCTGTGGCTTTAATTCCTTTAGAAACAATGATGTTACCAGCTCCTTGTTGAGAAAGATAATGTTCTTGAGCGATTAAGCTGTTTAGTTGATAAAACTGCGGGGCAGCGCTAAAAAGTTTGTTCCTGAATGTCTGAGTGCGGCCGCAACGTGAGTGATCTGTGTGTGTGACTGAACTTAACATCAAACTGCTTCTGTTTCACACAAATGCTGGCACAGACGTGCACGTTCGGCTAGAGTCGCTTTGAACTCGTGCATCTTCGGAAGCGGAGCTGCACAGAAAGTCCTGCCGCGCGCACCTAAGCGAACTTGCGGACGCGACGAGTAAATCAGCCTTGTGTGCATTAGATACAGTGAAGACAGCGCGTTAGTTTAGAACTCTTCAAAAAAAAATTTTAATCGTAGAGAGTGTGTTAATGAGGTGAAATTCAGTGCAGTCCTGTATCGTGATACGTATCGTATCGTGGCCTCTGTATCGTGATACGTATCGTATCGTGACTTTACTGGTGATACACAGCCCTAGTAAATGCTGCTGCTAATATGCTTAATATTTCACTCCTGCATACAATGCAAACTGCTAACATGACATTTATTTTAACCTTGTTTATGGTTGTTCATTTTTGAATTCTATTAGGCAGACCACGCAGTACACACAGCGATATGGATTAAAAGAGCATTCATTTATCTTAGATGTTGATTTCAGACGTTTCTGAAGTGCACTGCTACTGCTACAGCAAACACTGCCAAGTATTTAAATGTTGAGTAGCAAGCTCATTGGCTACCGATACAGTAGAGAACCAATCAGCTGTGCCATGTGATAATGATGTCATTATGTCATACTGAGTTAGATCTATCAGACTGCGCCATCTAGAGTTTCATGCCAGAACTTTGTATATATTAGTCAAAATTAACACGTTAATTGTGCACTTTTTTTCTTGGCATCCTTTGGATAGCATTACAGTAGACTATATGAACACACTATCAAGCACGATAAGACAAATTAATTTGGTACTGGCCAAGCGGCAACCATCTGGTCTCTCTCTTGAAACTAACATGGAAGTAACTTAAACTGCAATTCATCGACTGGTCCTAGAGACTGGCTCCAAAAGAGAGTCAGTCCCATAGACCCCCCATGTTAAAATGCCCAACTTTACAGCAGAAAAAAAATGTTTACAGCCTGGTACAAAAAGTGGTTTGGTCAATATAGCTAATTTAGCTCTTCATGATAATTGTGAGGGGAGTGATTTTTTTTATAACTCATCCATTTAATTTATATTAAGTCTTAAAGTTCTGCATAATTAAGGGCATGGCCACTTGAGTGACAGGTGGATTGCCACTGCTGTCACTACCGCCAAACTAGGCGGGCGTGGTTTCAGCAACCAGGCAGCTCAGCTCCACCCACGTCCCACCTCTTTGCCCATTTTTGATTATCCAGGAGTGATGCGCGGCCAAGATGGCAATGGCCAGCTCCGCCCACTTTGGGCTTCAAAAATGCTCCTCAGAGACCTACGGTTGACGCTTCAAGCTTTCTATAGATATAGATTGATATTGTGTTCATGAATAAAAGTAGACCCTTTACAGATCTGAATGATGTAATGCTCAAAAATGACAGAGTAATGCAAGTTCTTTTCGGCGTTATCAGGAAAAAGTAACACAAAACACATCGGTGCATTTGTCGACCCCTGAGGGTTAACAATCATATACAACTTATAAATCATTACATGCAAAATTAATAGTAGTTATTAGTAGTTATTATTGATGTGGTTTGGAATTGGTCAAATGTGCTAGGAAAAAAATATTAGAATATAGACTTAATAATTATGTAAGTAATGTATATTTGAAACAGATTTAAATGAAACTACTTAAAATTATGCATACAGTTACAGTTTTAAGAAATAAAGCATTTTCCCAAAGAGTAAAATACTTGAAAAAAGCCCACATACTCTCAAAAATCAGAAGTCACAAGCGAAATTAAAGCAGTGTAAGCAATTTACTTTCATAATAAGCTTAGTGATATGAAATTTTCTGGCATTAAGAGCCAGTTCAAGAAGAGGTGGTGATTCTAACAAAAGCCTGTTACAATGTGAAGCTAAGTGGATCTATTATATGGACTGTGTATATCCGAAGGGATTAAATGAAGAACTTCAATTGTCATGTTTTTTATGAATTGTACTTTCTTGTCAACTCCAACAGACAACCATTGTTCCCCAATTTGATGTATATTATCTATTGCTTTAAATGTACCCATGTTGTGGTCATTTCTTTTTTCTTTATTTCATTTTTTCTTTTCTTTATTATTTTTCTTTCTTTATTTATTTATTTATTTTTTTTCTTTATTTCTTGATATTGTGTCATTTAATATGTTGTTTTATTTTAATTTTTTTTCATCTAGCATATTCAACCATGTTTTTTTTTTTCTTTCTTTTTTGGATCAGTTCTGGTTTGATCATGTGATCTCCTAAATCATCATGTGATTTCTTAAATCAAGATGTTCCCAGTTCCAACACTGTTAAGCTTGGCATTGAAAATGGTCAACATGTGACCGAAACGTTTGCCATGTTTTTTTCATTAAATTGCTTACACTGCTTTCATCTCTTTTGATTTTTGAGAGTGTGCGGGCTTTTTTCAAGTATTTTACTCTTTGAGAAACTTTTTTGGTCTACGCACCTCGGTTGGATTGTTTTGAAGGCGCTGTGAGTCTCCGGCTCTTTTTAATAAATAAAACAGGACACAGAAAGTGTGACTCACTCTTCTCTAGGTTGAGGAAGAACTTGGGTAGTGGTGCCTGCACCTCAGCAGGCCTTCGCTTTGGTTGAGGAGAGGCATTGCTGCTGCCTCCACCCCCAGGCTCTGCCGCTCGATCCCCTCCAGATGTATTGCGTGTTGAGCGACGCAAAGATTGGGTGGAATCGGAATCCAGGTAGGCACAGCGTCTTCGCTTAGGTGGGGTTGCCATGATGACGGGGACACTGGAGGATTCACTCAGAGCTGGTTGGCTGTCTGTGGACTGGGGAGTAGAGGGATTCTGGCCAGGACTGGGGGATCGTTCTCTGAAAGTCCTTTAATAAAAGTGAAAATGAACAATGTTAATTGGGATTTCAAACAGCTTAATTGATTCAAAAACTCAAAAAAAGAAAAAAATATGCAACATCATCACCATTATATCTTTAGTACCTGCAGTAACGAGTACACCTTAATTTCCCACAAACATGCATGTAAATATCCTGACTGACAGGGACTGCATTTTCAAGTCAAGTCAAGTCAAGTTTATTTGTACCGCGCTTTTCACGATACAAATCACTGCAAAGCAACTTTACAGCAAATTAAGTTTCTACAATATTTAGTGGTAGCTTATCAGTGGTGACTGTCAATTAATGTACATTAAACAATTGTATGTTGTTTCAGGGTTGGCATCATCTGAGGTCCTCTGAGGGGTTGGCATCATCTCAGCATGTGTGTGTGTACCTGGCATTCCCTATATTATGGGGACCAAATGTCCCCACAAGGAAAGTAATACCAGTTAATTTTGACCTTGTTTTTGTTTATTTTGTATTTTTGGTTAAGTTTTTGAAAATCTAAAAATGCATAAAGTTTTGTGTGGGGGGTAGGTTTAAGGGTAGGGTTACGGTCTAAAAAAAAGTCTGATACCGATATATCGGCCGATATTCTTGTGTATTTCACATGCTTCCCGTGTGTCCAAACTTTTGACTGGTACTGTATAGGCTAGAATACAGTATGTACATAAACAGAATATATATATATATATACCTAAACACATTTTTAGCAATGATAACTCAAATGGTGATCAAACACTTATAATGATGTGGCAAAAATATGTAATGGATGCAGGGTATTTAACAATTTAACAATAAACCTTATTATCCAAAATGAGCCTGACATCAAGTGCACTTAAAAGTAAACTTCACTTCACTTATTATAAATAAATTTAAAACACAAATAGAACTATATATATATTGCAGAGTGCAATATTTGAATTAAGTGTGGAACTTGAATTAAGAAAATAAACAAGGTAACTGTGTAGGGCAACAAGCTACTGCCAATCCAACAGGGGCAGGTTTATGCAGGAAGCACAGCTTTTCCAAATGTAAACATCTAAAATGAATAATAATAATGAATAATATTTTTTTCACAAATTCTGTGTTGTGTATTTTCTGGTAATAAAATGAACACGCAGAACATGAGGATTCGTATTTAAATAGTCTTTTTGCAGTTTAATATTCACAGACACTAGTCTATATCGCGATTTGATTTAAGTATACTGACCTGTTTTTTATTTATTCATCAAAAATATGAAATTCGGTGAAAATCTGCGTTATACAGTAAATTAAGTTATGACGACTGTATTCCGTGCTTCCGTCCGTGTTTTCTGCATCGCGGAAATCATAAGGCCCTACTAATGTGGCAAAGGAGTATGATAAGTTCAATGTCAGAGTAAAAGGTGGGGAAATTGTTTATTTACATTATAGCATTGCGTCTCACCAACTAGGTGACAACGTAGCATTAAATCACCATTCAACAGACTCAAGCCACCACCTCACTGCCGTCTATTGGACTGCAGGAAGATACTAACTTTTCAATCTGCTACGTTACTGACTGTACTGACAAACTATGCTGACTTAGGAAATGTGATGTGACCGATGTGATAAGCATGAGTTCTGGGAGGCGGCGTGGCTAGTATAAACACAAGCATTGACAGCTGCGATAAGCTCCGGTGGCGGGAGGATAATTTGAAGCAGCGGACTCGGGTGAAGTTTGAGCTCATCTGCGAATCTCTACACTACAGTGACCTGGGTCACCAGTAGCAAACAATGGAGCGCACTCTGGACAAACTAAGTGAAACACTGTCCTCTGGCTTCAGCCTGCAGAAATACAACTAGTGTCCTGCGTATTCCATAAAACAGCCAAGACACCACCAGGATATTTACATTTTTAAAATTAATTTATTAATTACTAAATATATTCGAAATTATTTTATTTATTTCTTATTTTTTAAAATATTTTATATATCACCGGTAATATAAATGTTTTTAAAAAAAAAAAAAAAAAAAAAATGTTCATATTGGTGGCATATTCGCCGATACGATATATCTGCGACAAATAAATTTAAATAAAAAGATAAATCGGGCTCTATCGGTCAATCAACAGTAAATCAGTCGGGCTCTATCATAGATGACTCAAAAAAGCTGTACAGCAGTTGAGATGGCATTCCATTCTCTAACTACCAGCGTAGAGAAAGATGTGCCACACTGTGACTGGATCTTGGTGAACAAGCACAAACAAATGCCAAGCAACATCAGATAAGCTGCTAAGAAAATGCCAGACATCTCGTACAGGACAGGAAGGGAAATCACGTTGCATCCACCTCTGCATGAGAAAGAATTTGTCACTGGACAACAGGTTGATGCAAACAACCAAACTCAGCAGAGAATGCTATAAAAATTCCTTAGTACCTTTGAATGCAGCAGCAGTGACTAAAACAATAAAAATAAAAGAAGCAACAAATATACATCCAAATCCATACATACCCATCTTTGGAAACCTTAAAAACTACAATAAATCCACTCCCTGTTCAAGCAAACAGACCTATTAACATTAATGAATCCAGTGGTGATAGTTCAACAATTTCTTACGTTTGGACTATGTATTTGGCATAACAACTGTAATCATTTAAAAGAGGTTTGGTAAAAAAAGTCGTAGTTAAAATATTAAAGACACTCTTTTAACTCTGTACTTTACACAATGCAAATGAGTTTCACACCAGGATGGACAACACTTTCTACTTAAAACCAGTGTAAATATAATAATCACATTGTTAAAATGGAAAGGTGGCCGTTTTAAATCTCCTCTCCATCGGAAAGGGATAAAATGTAATTCCCCAGGTGGATACATCTTTGTTCTGCATTTATAACGTGACAGGGAAGTAGGGCTGGGAAAATAAATTGATGCATCGCGAATCAAGAAATTATTCAAGCATCGATTCTGAGATTTTCCAAATGCATCGCGATTCTTTCTTGAGTCGATTCTGAGTTAAGTTTTGAACAGCAGATGGCACTGGGTGCTTTAGAAACACAGTGGGCTGTGTTTACATTACTCTCGCATCATAAAAGCATTCTGAGCCAAGGTGAAATTGCATGACTCAGCTGAACGCACAAACGCTCTTCAGCACTCTTCTTCATGAGCTTTTGAGTGTGCGGATAAAAACTAGATTAGAGTGCCATCTGCTGTTAAAATCTAAGCTCAGAATCGATTCCAGAGAGAATCGCGATGCATTTGCAAGATCTCAGAATCGATCCACGAATCAATTCTGCATTGATTTATTGTCACAGCCCTACAGGGAAGGAGACATTAAAGGGCACCTATTATGCAAAATCCACTTTCACATGGTGTTTAGACATAAATGTGTTGGCAGTGTGTAAACACAACCACCCAACAATGATAAAAATGCACCCACTCATTATTCTCCCCATTAAATCACATCAGTCTCACTAGGCCTGCTGTTTTGTTTCTCTACGTAATATGACATCACATTGCATAGGGCCGGGCCACGGCGGCTGATTAACAGCCCTGCATTGCTAGTTTCCGCCCTTAGTGCTTGCATGCTGTCCTCCATTTTCTCAGCTCTCGAGCAGCTGTAACGTCAATAATGTCTAAGCAATCCCGGTGTTCTGTGTTTGGATGTAAGACTGAACATGAGTCTACATTTTCTCCGAACATCTGAGCCACTGAGGACGCAGTGGATTACTTTTATTTTTCAAGGTAATGCGCCTCAAAATCTACCTAAATACGTTTATGTCTGCGCAAATTATTTTACTCCAGACTGCTTTGAGAATGTCAAGTCGCTATAGTGCTTAATGTTTTAACCGTATTTGTGTGCATACGTTATCGAAGTATTTTAATCGATCAGCGCCACGCTCGTGAGATTAGTTCACATAACGCTGTCCGTTCGATAGTGTGGTCGCGCGGCTAGGTCCAACATCGTGCTTATGAAATGTGTCTGTGGGTCTGACAATAGCATCCACGATGTCATCGCTCATGGCCAGTGCACTCGCAAGCAGTTATAAGCAGCAGGCTGTGTAATATGTGTGAAATCTTTTATTTTTGTTATCACTTATTATGGCCATTTGACCTCTAGCAGTGTCCAGTGTTTCCTATACATTGAGTTATTTGTGGCGGCTCGTCACAATATCAAAACTGACTGCCACAAATAGATTTTCCAAAAGGCTTATACTTCGTTGAATAAAATGAACGCTTCACGTTTCAAAATTAAAATGCAGCGTGGTGGTTTTTATATGAATGTATCTTTGAAAAGAACCGACTGTCTTCAGAAAAGCTTCGATGTCATTTTCATTTCGTGTTTCCTGTAATGCCTGATAAAGTAGCGTTTGTGAGCGTAGCGCTGATTTGATTACAGCCGTTACTGGGGAAACCGCTATATCTCCAGCTCCCAAAGCGCCTCCTGCTGGCAGAGAATTAATTTGCAGTTTGTGGGAAACACTGGTGTCTGTCAGCAAACATAAACAAAAAGCATGCTTCAGAACTGTTTTGAGAAGGTGCTTAAGTTTTGACCATGTATTATTACTCTAAATTGAGCTACTACTACTATTACTATCTTGTACCCAGCAATAATCATTTGCTCAAACTCACTTTTATGAAATGAATGGGGAAAAAAAAGAAAATCGGCATCATATATGGGCCATCGGCTGCCCTGATTTCTAAATCAGGGTTTCTGCATGATTTTTAAGCTCAAATTTAAGACCTTTTCAAGACCTGCACAAATAAAATTAATACCATATGAGCGGGGTAGGGCAATGTCTATAGTACCATATTAAACTGTAAAATTACTGTAAAAAGCATAACTTACAGTTCAGATACAAGTTTTAAAAAAAGATTTTAACAAAAAGTTTTATAAAATGATAAACTTTACATTTCAGCCTTTAAACCATTTTTAAGAAAATAGATGAGTCAAAAGTATTAATTATTATATTCATTTAAACAATTATCAATAATTTATTATATCAATTAAATAACAAATTAGTAG